TTGAATCAAAACAGAGATTAAAAGATACCTGGAAACAAATGAAAATCAAGAAACATCTTACCAAAATCTCTGGGACGCCATGAAAGCTGCAGTAAGAGAGGAATTTATATCCCTACAAACACACATGAAGAAAATAGAAGGATCACAAATTAACAACCTAAGAAGCAACCTAGAAAAGCTGGAAAAGCAAGACCACAAAAACCGTAATTTGAGCAGAAGAATCCAGATCACCAAAATAAAAGCCCAAATCCAGGACATAGAAGACAAAAAGATAATACAAAAAAAGCAATGAAACAAAAAGCTGATTCTTTGAAAGGATAAACAAGATTGATGGTCCCCTAGCGAGACAGACCAAGAAAAGGAGAAAAAGCCCAAATAAACACAATCAGAAACACAAAAGATAAAGTCACATCTGATCCTGAAGAAATACAAAAGATCATTAGAGACTACTATGTACACTTGTATGGAAATAAACTTGAAAACCTTAAGGAAATGGAGGACTTTCTGTCATCACACAACCTGCCTAGGTTGAAACAAGAAGAAATTGAGACCTTAAATAGACCAATAACAATCAAGGAAATTGACTACGTAATAAGAAAACTACCTACCAAAAAAAGCACTGGACCAGATGGCTTTCCAGCAGAATTTTACAAGACATTTAAGGAGGAGTTTATACCAATCCTACTGAAGGTATTCCAGGTGATTGAGAAAGATGGAGCTCTCCCCACATTATTTTACGAAGCTAACATCACATTGATACCCAAGCCACGTAAAGACCCAACAAAGAAAGAGAACTACAGGCCAATATCTTTGATGAACATAGATGTTAAAATTCTCAAAAAGATCCTAGCGAACCGGATTCAACAACACGTCTCAAAAATCATCCATCATGACCAAGTGGGCTTCATCCCTGGGATGCAAGGCCAGTTCATCATTCGTAAAACCACAAATGTAATTAAATACATCAACAGATGTCAAAACAAAAGCCACATGATTATATCATTAGATGCAGAAAAAGTTTTTGATAAAATCCAGCATCACTTATTGATAAAAACCCTCAAACAGCTAGGCATATGGGAACATGCCTCAAAATAGTAAAAGCCATCTACAAGAAACCCACAGCCAGCATACTCCTAAACGGACAAAATCTGGAACCATTTCCCCTGACAACTGGAACAAGACAAGGATGCCGACTCTCACCCCTCCTGTTCAATATAGTATTGGAAATCCTGGCTAGAGCAATCAGAGAAAAGAAGGCAATCAGGGGTATTCAAATCGGAAAAGAGGAAGTTAAGCTATCTCTCTTTGCAGATGACATGATCGTGTACCTTGAAAACCCAAGAGAATCTGTCAAAAACCTCCTTACACTGATAAAGGACTTTGGCAAAGTCTCAGGATATAAAATAAATGTACAAAAGACAATCACATTTCTTTACACCAATAATAAACAAACAGAAACCCAAATAAAAAGCACAATTCCATTCAAAATAGCCACAAACAAAGTGAAATACCTTGGCATCTTCCTAACCAGAAACGTGAAAGACCTTTACAATGAAAACTACAAAACACTGCTCAAAGAAATCAAAGATGACTCAAACAAGTGGAAAAATATCCCATGCTCATGGATTGGAAGAATCAACATTGTGAAGACGTCCATCTTACCTAAGGCAATCTACAGATTTAATGCAATACCCATCAAACTACCAGCAACATTCTTCTCAGACCTAGAAAAAACAACACAGGAATTCATATGGAAACACAAATGACCAAGAAAAGCCAGAACAATCATCAGCATAAAAAACAAAGCAGGTGGTATCACATTACTAGACTTCAAACTTTACTATAAAGCTACAATCATCAAAACAGCTTGGTATTAGTACAGGAACAGGCATATACCAATGGAATAGAATTGAGATTCCAGAAGCAAAACCTCAATTTCTCAACCAACTCATCTTTGACAAAGCCTCCACCACCTACCACTGGGGAGAGAAGAACCTATTCAGTAAATGGTGCTGGGAAAACTGGCTGACCACATGCAGAAGACTCAAACAAGACCCCTATTTATCCCCATATACAAAAATTAACTCTAAATGGATCAGAGACCTAAATGTAAAACCTCAAACCATAAGAACCTTAGAAAATTCAGGACATACCCTCATGGATATTGGAACTGGCATCCAATTCCTGAACAAAACCCAAAACCCACAGGCCATAAGAGATAAGATATAGACAAGTGGGACCTCATTAAACTGACAAGATTCTGCAAAGCCAAAGAAACCATCAAGAGAGCAGGAAGACAGCCTACAGACTGGGAAAAAGTATTTGCTAACTCCAGGTCTGACAAAGGGTTAACATCTTGGATCTACAAGGAACTAAAATGTACTGAAAAGAAAAAAACAAACAACCCCATTATAAAATGGGCATAAGATATGAACAGACACTCCACAAAAGAGGACATCTGAGTAGCCAACAAACACATGAAGAAATGTTCAACCTCACTAATCATCAGGGAGATGCAAATCAAAACCACACTGAGATACCACATAACTCCAGTCAGAATGGCAATTATCAACAAATCAAAAAATAACAGCTGCTGGAGAGGGTGTGGTGAAAAGGGAACACATCTACACTGTTGGTAGGAGTGTAAACTAGTGCAACCTCTGTGGAAAGCAGTGTGGCGATTCCTAAAAGCTCTAAATATCAACCCTCCATATGACCCTGCAATCCCCTTACTGGGAATATACCCTGAAGAACTCAAATCACTCTATAAAAAAGATACTTGCACACGTACGTTTATTGCAGCATTGTTCACAATAACAAGAACCTGGAAACAATCATGCTGCCCATCAAAAGAAGACTGGATTAAAAAATGTGGTACATATACATGATGGAATACTATGCAGCCAGAAAAAAGAACAAAATCATGAATTTCATAGCAACCTGGATGGAACTAGAGTCTATAATACTGAGTAACCTCTCACAGAAACAAAGATCCGAGTATCACATGTTCTCACTCATATAATGGACCTTGAACATCCAGTGTAATACTATAAGAAAATGAATGACAGTACTGGGAAACTATGGGGGGGAGATGGGATTAACAGTAGCAAATATCTCTCTGGGGATGGGGAAACACCTCTTATCAACAGTGTGCCTGAATGAAACGTAATGGTACACCTAACCCTTAACTGTACCCCACAAAACCATAATAAAAAATATTGATTAAAAAAATAAAGTGGGCAAAAGATATGAATAGACACTTCTCAAAGGAAGACATCCGAGCAGCCAATAGACACATGAAGAAATGTTCAACCTCACTAATCATCAAGGAGATGCAAATTAAAACCACAATGAGATACCACCTAACTCCAGTCAGAATGGCAATTATTAACTCAAAAAATAACATTTGGGAGAGGGTGTGGCGAAAAGGGAACACTTCTACATTGTTGGTAGGAGTGCAAACCAGTGAAACCTCTGTGGAAAACAGTATGGCGATTCCTAATAGCTCTAAATATTGACCTCCCATATGATCCTGCAATCCCCCTACTGGGAATATACCCTGAAGAACTCAAATCACTCTATCAAAAAGATACCTGCACACGTATGTTTATCGCAGCATTGTTCACAATAGCAAGAACCTGGAAGCAACCATGCTGTCCATCAAAAGAGGACTGGATTAAAAAAATGTGGTACATATACACAATGGAATATTACGCAGCCATAAAAAGTACAAAATCATGAATTTCACAGCAACCTGGATGGAGCTAGAGTCTATAATACTGAGTGATCTCTCACAGAAACAAAGATCTGAGTATCACATGTTCTCACTCATATCGTGGACCTTGAACAGCCAACATAATACTATAAGAAAATGACTGATAGTGGTGGGAAACTATTGCGGGGGGGAGAAGGGAGATGGGATTAATGGTAGCAAATATCTGTCTGTGGATGGGGACACACCTCTTATCAACAAGGGTGCCTGAACGAAGCATATTTGTATACCTAATCCTTAACTGTATCCCACAATATCATAATAAAAATATTGATTATTATGAAAAAAGAAAGAAAGAAAAGCAACAGACAAGAAAAGGAACTAAGGAGCTGATTTATTTTTCATTTACTACGATCGATTAAAAACTGTGTGTTAAAATTAAATGTTGTATTGCCTATTGTTGAAAAGGGTTTCTTTGTTCAAAATGCAGTCACATCTCCTAATTTTAGCCTAAAGCAAAACTGGTTTTACCTTCTTTAATGAAGAAACATAAAGTGCCGATGTCATGTTTTCCTCTTAAGAGAGGTAATTGGTTCGTTGTATTATTTCGGCAAGTCTTTCATCTCTCTTCAGGAAGATAAGGCAATAGTGCAACCTATGTTTAGGGTTAAAGGATAAATGGGCAACAGGTATGGCTAAAGTGAAAGAGATTGGCTCCAAGAGCATAACTTCCCCTTTAAAGGACAGTTGGGAGAGAACTAGAGACATGGGTGGTCAACACAGTTTTTCAAATGAATCTCTGACAGGGTGAGCCAGTGAAATAAGAACATGATTAGGTAGCTTTCACTTGGCAAAAAGGATACCATTTCTGAAAATGATTCCCAAGGCCAATTTCATGTCTCTGTTCCTTAGGCTGTAGATAAAGGGGTTCAACATAGGGGTGACCACTGTATACATCAGTGAGGCAATCATGTCTTTGTCATTGGTGTTGTGTGATGAAGGGGGAAAGTACAGAGCCATAATTGTTCCATAGAACAGAAACACCACAGAGAGATGGGAGCCACAGGTGGACAAAGCTTTACAGACACCTTTGATAGAGGAGGCCCTCAGGATGGAGACCCCAATGTGGATATATGAGATCAGGATGCCACCTAATGGAAATATGACGACTGCAGTGCCTGCAGTGAATAGAATCAGCTCATTGAGAGAGGTGTTTGAGCAGGACAGCTTGAGAAGAATGGGAAGACTACAGAAAAAGTGAGGAATTATGTTGTCAGCACAGAAGGACAGCTTGGCCAGCAGCAGGGTGTGCAAGAGGGCACTGCCACAGGAGAGAATCCAGGAGCCAGTTACCAGCAGAACACACAGCCCTTTCCTCACGATGATGGTGTAGTGTAGAGGATGACAGATGGCCACATATCTGTCATATGCCATCACTACAAGAAGGAGATTATCAGCACAACCAAAAAGTATATAAAAATACAACTGTGAAATACACTCTGAATAAGAAATGGACAGATGCTGAGTCTGCATGTTTATCAGCATCTTGGGGACAATGACAGATGAAAAGGAGATGTCAGTGAGGGCCAAGTGACTGAGAAAGAAGTACATGGGGGTGTGGAGGCGTGAGTCCAGCCAAATAAGCAGGAGGATGAGTAGGTTCCCTAGCACCGTGGTCAGGTACATGCCCAGGAACAGGGTGAAAAACAGGTCCTGCTGTGCTGGCCGGATAGGAAGCCCCAGGAGGAGGAACTCAGACACACTGGTCAGGTTCTCCTCCTTCATGCTTCTCTTCTCTCTGATGGGGATGAAGCAAAATAAGAAATGTCAGGAACATGTAAATGCTAAGCATAGCTATTACCATTTGGTCACAAACTGTGACTGCGTCACTTAGAGAAAGCAAATCTGATTGCATTGCGCTCACATATTAGTGCCTCATCCAGTCTGGTGAGTGCAAAAGCAATAAGAATGTCTGTATACAGACACAGTCACATGGAGAAGGTATGTGATTTCTGATTAATGAAAAACAGGAACCATTCCCTCTTTTCCCCCCCAAATATGTGAAGACACTGTGATAGGTACTAGGGAGATAAGACGGAGTTGTTTCCTTACAAGAGTGAGCAACTTCACAGGATATTGATTATGAGTATTGCTCTGCAGTCAGACTTCTTAGGTGCTTGCATCTGATTCTTGCTTATCCCAATTGTTTTTTGTTCTCTCTCTCTCTTTCTCTCTCTTACTCATTCACATACAGACACATACACACTCTTGACAGCATTATTGAGGGAATTAGAAAAATATACCTTGTACAAAATAAGTGCTTAAAGCATAAATTCACTTCTCAACCATTAGGTTGACTATTATTAAACAACGAAAAAAGAAAAGAAGTATTGTCAAGGATGTGGAGACATTGAAACTCTTGTGCAACACTAGTGGAAATGTAGTATGGTACAACAAGTATGGAAAGCATTATGGTAGCTCCTCAAAAAATTAGACATAGAATGACCACATGATCCAGCAATTCCAAATATATACCTCCAAAATAATCGAAAGTAAAATGTTAAACAGATAGGTGTATCCATGTTCATAAAAACATAATTCACAAGAGCCAAAAGGTGTACACAACCTCTGTCGATCAACAGACGAATGGATAAACATCATACATATATTTTAAGAATATTATTCTTTCTTAAAAAGGAAGGAAATCCTGACAACATGTATAAACCATGAAGATATTATGTTACGGGATATGAGCCAATTACAAAAAGGCAAATATGCCTGATTCCACTTACATAAAGTTATTAGAAGAGTCTAATTCATACAAGTAGAAAGTAGCATGATGGTTGTCAGGAACTGAAGGGAGGAGGCAATGGGAATTTTTTGCTTAGTAGGTACAGAGTTCAGTTTGGAAAGATAGAAAGAGTTCCAAGATGAATGGTGGTGATTGTTGCACAGCAATGTGTAGGGTACATTAAACTGTACCCTTTAAAATTGTTAAATGGTAATTTTATGTTATGAATATTTTATCACAATATTTTAATTTAGAGAACATATGAATAAGATATAATAAATTATTAGCCTAAAATGATAGTCCAAAGAAAAGTGACCAAAAAATCCAATGTAATAATGCTGGCATTATTTTGGCAGGATGAGTAAACTCAAAAGTCAGGAGTTAAAAATAACAAAGATATGAGGAAAGCATTAAACAAAATCCCTTGATGACAATCTGTGTTTACCTCTCTGTGATCTCTCCCAACTTCAGGGAAACAGTTAAAAGCACAGATCATAGCCCCTGTGGATTAATACATCCATAACTCTTGACTTACAGTAGTGCTTCAAAATGTCTGAGTTCTGAGCATATGTACCAAGTTAGTGACCTAAGAATTTCCCCAATGACCTGTCCAGCGAACTGTGATCTTGCAGTTGCTGTAGGACTGGTGAGTTATATAGGAAATTCACAGTCATCTGATTAACTAGACAAGTTTTCAAAATTGCCAAATTCACATATAGTGACCATTGAAAGCAAATGAATAAAATGTTGAAGGCCTGAAAAACTACAGTAGTCTCCAACGTACATGAACAAACTGTCACCAATTTAACATAAAAAGGACTTTGCTTAGAGCTGCCTATTTATGTCTAGAACTGAGACAAGAGTCAGTCTTGGAGGCTGGATAAACAGATCAAATGAACATACGTATTTGTGTCACTCATTGACCTCCTATGCTGTATCCTCATTCAAGGTGGAGAATATGAGTGTGTTAAATACAAAAAACAGACTTGTAGAGTTATACAAAGTGACATAGAAACAAAGTCACAGTGCTGCTTTTCAGAGCTCTCTGACATGTATTCATTCCAACTGAAAAGTATAGAGGTTTGCATGGATTTCATACCAATTTACACACAACTTTTGAATAAAACACCATCACACACGACAGCTCTAACACTGTAGGTGGGAATGCAAAATAGGGCAGCTGCTACGGAAAACAGTACGGAAGTTTCTCAAAAAAAATTAAAAATAGGAACTACAATGTGATCCAGCAATCCCATTTCTGGGTAAGTATCCAAAGTAAATAAAATCAGAACCTCAAAGAGATATCTACACTCCCATGTTAATTGCTACACCATTCAAAATAGTCAAATTATAGAAACAACCCAAATATCTGTTAACAGATGAATGGGAAAGAAAATGTAGCATATACGTGCAATGGAATATTATTCAGCATTTAAAAAAAGGAAAACTGACTATTTGTGGCATCATGGATGAACCTAGAAGACATTATACCAGATCAAATAAGCCAGTCCAGACAGAAGAATGCTGCATGATTCCATTTACATGAGGTAACGAAAATAGTCAAACTTATAGAAGCAGAGAATACAAAGGGTTGGGTAAATGGGGAAATAGGCAGTTGTTGTTCAACTGGTGTAAAGTTCTAGTTATTAAAGATGAATCAGTTCTAGAGCTCTTCTGTAAAGCATAGTGTCTGTAGTCAACAATACATTATCATGCACTTAAAAATGTGTTAAAAGGATAGATTTCATGTTAAGTGTTCTTATCACAAAAACACCAAACAAGCTAAAAAAGCACAAGGAAGCTCTTGGAGGTGATAGGTTTATAAATACATTCACTTTTCCAAAGTCAACAAATTGTATGTATTAAATAAGTGCAGTTTTCTGTATCTCAAGTATACCTCAATAAAGCTGTTTAGAAAAATATATCCAGTCACTCAGATGACTCACAAGTCACACACACACACACACACACACACACAAGCACAAAATCTACTACACTGACTACTGACTACTGAGAGTTGCAAGTAGTGAATCATGACACACAAATAATACAAAAAATAGCATTACAGAAACACCAATACAAGCACATGCATTGGCAAGAGATTCCCCGCCCTCCCTGGTCTATAACAGCACGTAACAATAGGACTTTCCACAATGATGGAAATGTTCTATATCTGCACTGTCCAGTACAATACCACTAGCCTCATGTGACTACTGAACATTTGAAATACAGCTGATGCAACTGAGGAACAAAATTTTTAAATTTAGTACATTTTAATTAATTTTATTTTTTATTGTATGGTCACCTGTCGCTAGTAGCATCACATTGGTTAGTGTGTAATTCCATTACCCACAAAAAACACATGGTTATACATATATCTAGGTTAAGTGATTGTTCCCCACCTTATTCTGATCTGTACCAGTTCTCAGTGATCCAGCCTCTGTTACCTGAGCCCTCAGCAATTGTGACTCCACACTCTTGGATTCTTTAGTTCTTTCCATGCCTGTTTACATGCACTGTTTACATGCACTGTTTACATGCCTGTTTACATGCACTGGAGCAATGATCAGAAAGATCCTCATTTACAAACAGGACTAAGGCTCAGGGGAACACAATCCCAAGCTTCTGGTTAAAGAAGAAGCCAATAAGGCTAATTGCCCAATTTTCTGCCTTTGTATTGTACTGAATCCCATGCAGGAGCCAAAAGGGCTGAGCCACTGGAGTCACAGGGGAAAGTGTCTCTAATGTCAGTAACATGTTGGACTCCCTTCTGCCTGGTTATGAGGAACAAACGTGGCCATGAATACTCATGACCTCTGTAGGACCAAACAGCAATGAATTCTGCCTCTCTATACATCACAGAGTGGCCCAGACATAATAAATCATAGCCCTTGAAGACTCCCACACCACTGACCACAACTTCCATTACAGCACACCTTCCATGGCTACCCAAGATTTCCAGGTCTCACTACTCCCATGAGACGCCATGCAAGGGAGGAGCTGGCCCTTGTCCTGTTGAAAGTTGTAGAACTGTCCACTCTAAAAGAGTGAATTGCTTAATATATTAATTATATTTCACTAAGCTGTTAATAAAAAAGAAAAGTAATAAAGCAAAAAAAAAAAGAAAAACAAAAATTGGTTCTACAAAAGATCAACAAAAGTGACAAATCTTCCATTAGACTGATCAAGAAAGAAAAGATACACATAATCAAAATAAAGAATAAAAGAGGGAGTATCATCACTGTCCTTATAAAAATTAGAAGGATGACAAAATCCTATGAACAACTTTATTATGCCAATAAACTATACCATTAGATGAAAAAGTTCCTAGAAAAACAGTAGCTACCAAAACTAAAAAATCACAAGCAGGATATCTGAATAGACTTATAACAATGGAATAAATTAAATACAAATTTTTAAAGTTTTCTACAAAGAAAAGCCTAAGCCCAGACAGGTTTGCTGGTGAATTCTACAAAACATTTAAAGAAGAGATGATATCAATCCTTCACAAACTCTTCCAAAAAGAGTATTTTTTCATATACATGTAAAATGAAAACTCTGAAAATAAGATTAAAAAACAATTCCATTCATAATATCACAAAAAATGAAAATTTAACCAAAAACGTAGAATTTATACACTGAAAACACTGCTGAGAGAAATTAAATAAGATCTAAGTTAATGGAAAGGAATTACACATTTATCAATGTGGAAGACTAAATATAGTTTACAGGGGCAATTCTTCCCAAAGTAATCTATATGTTAAATGCAATCCCTGTCAAGATTCCAGAAAGTTTTTTGTAGAAATTGACAAGCTGAACTAAAAACTGTATATAAAAACACAAAGGACCTAGAATATTAAAAACAATTTGGAAAGAACAACAAAGTGAGAAGACTTTTTCTTTTTGATTTCAAAACTTGCTGTAAAGTTACAGTAATGAAGAAAATGTGATACTAGCATAATGATAGACACATAGATCAATGCAACAAAATTGA